CTCAGTGAAAGTATGAGAGAAATATGCAGCTGGTTCCCTAGCCAAAGGTGAAACAGCACACAGCAGCTGGAGCTGGGGAGAGGACACTCTGTGTTCTGACAACTATCGGCTCACTCATCCTTCCAGCGTCCTCCAACGGATGTCATCACTCTTACAGTCACGTCCCTTCACTGACTTTTCTTTTTTTGTCTTCACTATAAGCCTATTGTCTCAACTTATTACTCAGTAATGACCTATGTGTCTACCTTTATTCCTTCTGAGCCCCGTGGCAGTGAACTGGTTAAGCTCCTCCTCCCTTTGAGCTCCACCTCCAGGATCTGGCTCTAGACCAGTGGAGCATGAGAACCAGGACTGCCTGGACATAAAGGGACGATTGTGGCAGCCCAGTGACATGGAAGCAAGTAGCTCCGATGAAACTAAAAGTCAGCTTCAGGCCTGCACAGCAAAGCCCAGCCGACGGACAGGAGTGCAGAAAGTGAGTCAGTGAGCTGTAGTTGTTTCAGCTCAGCCAAATAAGGGCACTATGAGATGCACTCAAAGCCGATTACAATAAACCAATGAGGAAGCATTAGCCACCACAGCTAATTATGCCTTTAACTGCGGGGAGAGCTCTGTTCGTGCCTGGGCAGGGCTCTGCCGCTACGTCACATCCAAATTTATAAGGTGCCATCACACCACCTCCCATCTTTAATCAAAGTGCTGGCTTTACTGGAACATTTTGGAGTGGTAGGTGTTTTCTTAACACGTGCTTGATTTATTAGAGAACAACAGAACATGCTGCACATTTTATATTCAAATATAAGTTTATATACTGAACATGTTTCTGTAGGTGTACCGAACCCCAGACTAGAACTAAAGTAATACTAAGACACTGAATACCTACACGCACAACTGCTGTTCTAGAGCTGCCTTTGACCTTTTGACCCTGGGGCAACAACAGTCTATAAAGGACTCAAAGGACTCCGTATTAAATCATTATACCTAGTATTATAAAGTCTTTTCAACGTGGGCTGATGTTAGGGGGTGCTTCTGCTTGTTATGCAAAACACAGAACTGATGTCATGGTGTTATTGATAAGAAAGAAAACGGCTTTTCTTTATATTTGCAGTGAGGGGGGGTTTGGTCATGGCAGCTGGTTGTCATTCCTTTGCTCTGTAAGCAAAATGCATGTTGTTTACCAGGCATGGTGGGCTGTGTGAAGCTCCTGCCATATCTTCAGCTGTTTGCTTGTCACAATAGATATTTATTTGTCTTACTGCCAGGAGAGAAGCCAAAATGATGCTGCTGGCATCTTTAAGGCTCAAATTTGAGATGCTATAAAAACGTAGACAGTGAGACGGTTGGATTGACAGAGGGCGCTGTGCACTGACTTTGGACTGAGGCTGAAACTAATTTCTAATTGACAAATGAACATATTCGACGCTATCGTAATGATTTTATGATGAAATTTCCTTTTGTATTCAACAACATGCATTATAACCGAATGGTGCTAAAATTTGGGTTATTGTGACACCACTGTGCAGGGTAGTAATAAAACGGGTCTGTTGGGGGTGCTTCTGCTTGTTATGCAGACCATAGACAAAGGCAAAGGCGGCACTGGCAAAGGTAAATACATTAAAAAGCCTTACAAATGACTGTGCATATTGCAAACATAACAACATTATGAGATAAAAAGGCAACAGAATGTCAACCAGCGAGGCCTACATGTGCAGAAAAAAAAAACAAAAAAAAGGCAAAATTGTGATATCTAAAAGGCTAACGTTGTCTTTCCTTACAATTTATAAGCCTGCACAATAGCACATAATAGCACAAACAGCGCAGTGATTAATTTGACTTTATTGCAAGACAGAAATAGCTGCAGCCTCCAGTTAAGAGTCCTTGAATATAAAGGGAGGCCAGGCAGTACTGATAAGATTGTCTCATCTGGCTCGCAGGGCTAAAGTGCAGTGTGCTGCCTGAGAAAAAAAATGGAAGGCAGGATGTGGCTACTATTAGGCAGGTAATGGGATCCATCTGAGATGCATTAGAATCAGTCAAACACAACCACACTTCAGTTCCGTTCAAATGACTGTCACAATCACTTCACATGCACACCTTCAGCGTGTACTGTAGGTGACAAAAAAGTGTCTCTGGCTGTGGAGCGGCTCCTCTGAAGTTGTGCCAGGCTCGGGCATGTGCTCTTTCCTAATGGTGACGGCTGGGAGAGTGGCAGTGAGACTGATGTGCATGAGAGCTGTCAGCCTCTCCCCATAACAAATGCCACATCTCCCCCTGACAGAATGGAGACAGAAGGGAGGGACTGAGGTGGGAGGGAGGGGAGGTGTGGAGGTTACAGACAGAACCTGTGACCCAATTGTGGCCACACCAGCTGTTTCCCCTCCACTGCCTCCCAACCACCGCCATCTCTGGAGACCACATCCTGCTAATTGGCCTATGCCGCCTAGCACACACACACACATACACACACACACACAGCGACACACACATACACACACATATACAGAACTTGCTAAATAATATCAGTGAAATGACTTGTTCCCAGTGAGGAAGAACATTTGCTGGTGCCTTAAGCTGTATGTTGTGTGATGATTGATAACTGCTTCAAAACAGACTTCCCAGAAATATAAATGAGTCGCTGCCCTGCCACCATGCTGGCTAATGTCCCCCTTGACATGCACATAGGCTGACAGACAGAAAGACAGACTGATGACTGACTGACAGACTGACACACATACTGCCACCAAGATTCTATGAAGGAGAAACTGAATTAATTGGTTTTTCCTTCTGTGGATAAGTCTTCAGAGTGGTGTGTATGTGGCGATAATGGTAGGTTGCACTGACAGGCAGGTTATTTAATAAATCCTGGGATGTGTAAGGCAGAAAGAAAGGACACACACAAAACAGAGAAAAACCTCTTCTTCTTTTTTTTCTCCTTTTTTTTTTTTTTTGCTGTGTGTCTTGTCTGCCATAGCCCACGATATCTACTCTGATTTTCTTTTTGCCGAAGACACTCAAATCTGCTCAACGTACACACATACACACACACGTAGCCCTAATCATGCACCCACATAAATACACTTAATCGCTGACACACTCACGCATGGCAAGAGCAGTACTGCAAACACATCCAAGCATGCACAAGTAGGCTATAAAAGCACACACAGAAACATGCACAAGATCTTGCTCAATCAGTCTGATTTGTTTGTTTCCTCCTAAGCATTTGAGGATTCCTCAAGGAGGAAAAAACTTTGTATAATCAAGTCAATTATGTCATTCAATCAAGTCGAAAATCATTTCGAGCCCTTTCTCACATCCATTGATTGCAAAGTCGTGCTGAATATTTGCTTGCTCCATTCTATTGTGCAAATAAGCCATCTTTATTTGGAACGGCAGGCCAGGCCACGGTGAGGTCTTCAATGTCACATCCAGCAGAAAAAGAAAAAAAAAAGAAAGAGGCAAAACAAAGTCCTTCACCTTGCTCACTTTTAGTCAAGAAAATAACACTGAGGCTTTGGAGGGGCGAGCTGGTCGCATATTGTCTCTGAGCAAAAGAAAAAAGAAAAAAAAATAACAGTTTCTATTAATTTCTAACAGCTCTTTTGTCTCCTTCAGGACATGGTACATTATGTGCCCATGAAAAATCCATCCTCACTAAAATTGTTTAAACTCAAGGTCAAGTGCTGATGTTACGGGGACTGTATCAGCTGAAGGTGACCTTGACTGATGTGGAATATGACATGAGGGAAATGGATCTCCGCTCAGTGTGGGGAAATTATCTGTGAAATGCTGCCACTGTATCAAAGCCTGTTTGTGTGTGAGCGCACGCTTGTGTGTGTGTGTGTGTGTGTGTGTGTGTGTGGGTGTGAGTGTGTGTGTGAGTGCTGTACGTATGTCCTTGTATGAAAGGGTGTGCATATATGCCTCACTCAGCTGAGGGTACTTGGTCAGGAGAACAGCAATGCTGAAACTGCAGCAGCACACAGGAGCAAACAGCTAAATACGAGCTGCTGTCAAATAAACCGGGTGAGTTGTTCCTCCACGGAAATAATGTTATCACAATATCAGAGCTATGACTTTGATACCAATACTGAATTTTATTTGATTATAACGTCATACTGGTATAGATAAGACAGAAAACACCCCTTGTTGTTTTTTTGTTTTTTAAAGGGGGGAAGGGGTTTGGTCATGGCAGCTGGTTGTCATTGCTTGTTTGCTCTGTAAGCAAAATGCATGTTGTTGACCAGGCATGGTGGGCTGTGTGAAGCTCCTGCCATATCTTCAGTTGTTTGCTTGTCACAATAGATATTTATTTGTCTTACTGCCAGGAGAGGAGCCAAAATGGGGCTGCTGGCTTCTTTTAAGACTCAAATGCGAGACTGCTATGAAGACTGAGATGCTGGCCATGTGGTGTGAATCACAGTAGCCGTGTTTCCATATGACTGTCAAGCGAATTTGAAATGTCACAAAAGCAAAAAAACAGAAAAAAGAAAACGCAAAATAGACAAAGCGATTAAGCTAGGCTGTACAGTGTGGTCAGAAGGTGGCGGTATGGGCTACGTTCCTCATGGCTGGAATAAACGGTTGTTTGCCTTGAAAACATCAGAGAAGAGAACGAAACAAACAAAATGTTGGAAAAAAATAGAGAAAAATCTTTAGGAATTCTGTGATATCAGGATGTTCGGAGGCAAGGACGATGAAAGAAGCAAAACCAGCTGATGAGTCGCGTTAGTTAAATGATTAAATGAACAAATGTCGCCATTTCCACTAACTTATTCTCAAGCAAAACTTTAAACGGGCAAATAATACGCTATGGAAACACGGCTAGCGCTGGATTGACAGGGGGCGCTGTATTGTGTGACAAGGGGCTTTGGTGAATTTTCAAGTGTAAAATTAACTCTCACGTTATCTTAATCACGATAACAACACAGCATGCGACGGAATCCAAGAGCGCTCAAGTGTTGTGACAACACAGTGCCGGATAATAACAAAAACAGTCTTACCTTCCCAAACTGTTCAAAATACTGCTTCACATCTTCCACTACTGTATTGGCTGACAAGCCACCCACAAATATTTTCTTTGTTCTTGTGACCATCTGGAAGGAAAAGGGCGAGAGGAGAAGATTAGTGACAGGACTTCAAATGCGTTGCACAACACCTTTAATGAGACTCCAAACACACTGTGTGAGCAGCACCTGTGATGGAGGATGGAGGAGCGGGGACACAGAGCTGCTTAACAGGGATGCAGGGATTCACAAAATAAAGTTTCAAAGACACTTTTGTATTATACTGCTGTTACCAAGCAAGGTCACAAACGTTTAAGGTTCTGGCAGGAAAAGGAATAAAAATATCTTGGCCAAGAAGAGCAGCTTCCTCACAATGACATTTCAAATGGAAGCTCCTAATCAAAACAAGACTGTCAGAGAATTAAAGACCTCCACTTCATTCGTGAAAGTTTCTGTTTATCTTCGCAAAACTTGAAAAAAAAAAACAACAGCTTTAATTTATAGTGTTTCAAAAAACAATTAATGAGCGCTAGAAGATGGAATCAGAGTGCATTAAAGCCTCATTTAGTTTCAAACAGCAAGAATATTAAGGATTATTACCCACAGCATCAAAAAGGGCACAAACATCTGCTGCAGAGAACATGCTAAATTTAGGAGGGCAATTTCTCTGGGAAATACAGTAACAATTCAACAACCGTGTAAAATCTCTTCTTTTGCACTCAAGGTTGCAGCAAGTAAGAACTAACCATGAAACAGCATTCATGCAGCAACCTCTTAAAACAGCCTTAGCCTACAGTCACACCTCTAAAACATCTGGTCAGCACAGGTGTGGATGAAAATCAAGCCCTAACATTTAACTAATAAATCAGGTTTTCTTATTACAACATTTGATTTAAGACACATTAACCAGTATTAGGTGGCCTGTGTTATTTGGAGGTATGTCGTTTTATTTTAAGCACAGGAGTAGGGTGCACTTCATGTCCCTGTGGCATCTGTGATGTTATTATGGTTATTGCTTTGGCCTGATCTGACTCTGCGGTGAGAGGCTGCTCCAGCACTGTGGGGAGAAGGACTTTCACCTCAGCCCGTTTCTGCTGACCTCTGGTAATAGACATACAAAGGTGATCGCACTGCAAGTGGTTTTGCATGAGTTATATACACAGAATGGTTCCTCGCATGTGTCAATATCAACAGTTACTGCCTGATCTACTGCTCTCTACAGTATACACATTGGGCTAATTGGGATGTATGATATAGGAGGAGGGCTGCAAGGTGGCTTGGTGGTTAGCACCGTTGCCCTGCAGCTAGAAGGTCGTCGGTTCGTGTCCTGGTGAGGACACCCGGGATCTTTCTGCGTGGAGTTTGCATGTTTTCATGCACCGGGTTCTCCGGCTTCCTCCCACACAGTCCAAAAAACATGCTGAGGTTAATTGGTGATTTTAAATCGTCTGTAGGTGTGAATGTGAGTGTGCTTGGTTGTCTCTCCCTAAGTGTAGCCCTGTAATAGACTGGTGACCTGGCCTAAGTCAGCTGGGATAGACTCCAGCCCCCCTCGACCCCAGTGAGGATTAAGTGGTGTATAGATAATGCATGCATGGATGGATGGATGGATACAGGAGGATGAATGATAAACACTGATGTTATAATCTAAATTAGTTTTTCTTGCACCTATTTGGCCAATGCAGAAAGAACAAGATCACTGCATAATACTTCCAAAAGCACATTTGTCCAAATAAATAACAATAATCTTTACTGTCTCCTATAAAGTACTAAGTCTCCTGATTTCCTGATATGATGTGGCATATAGTGATGCACTGCTCTGTAATCTTACTGACAAACAAACAAACAAACAAAAAAAAAAGCAGCAGAAAAGGCAGCAGAGAAAGTCACAGCTCTGATCTCCCTTGGCTCGCTGAATCAAACAAAAAATAAATGATGGGGGCAAGATAAACATACTCTAGAGATGGCCAGCAAAGAATCAAGAGGGCTGAAAGAGTCTACCTTGATCAAAATGCTGACCGAGACACTTTGGATCTATGAAAGAGGCTTAACACTGAGAAAAAAGAAGCAACGTTCAGCTCGAGCTGAAGTAACCATCTGTCAAGTGCTTTCCAGGTGCACACAGTCTCACAGGCACATAGCCTGCACATATGCACACAGCTTCCCACACATGGGCCCTCTTTTACAGCTACTTTTTTTTCCTTTATAAATATTGCTGAAGTGATTTTTTTTTCCTGTTTGTTTTTATCGTGTTATATTGTTTTATCACAAAACTCAATTAATCCAACATTTGTAGAAAAAAAAAACCTTGAAAGAAACATTTTTCAAAGGTGTTTTTTTTTATGAATGAAAAGAAACACATTTCAGAGGTCTGCATTTATTCTCCTGTTTAACTCCAATTTAAAGGTGAAAGAGAGAAAAGAGCTCTTAATGTGCTCGTACTTAAGGGCTGGAGGTGCTGGTAGCTGCGAGATGAACAAATAATCAGAAAAATAAATAAATAAACAAAAGTAGCCACAAGAGTTTGCAGTAGGCCGCGCACACTCAACCAGTAAATATATAATCAAGGGTGTTTTATTACACTGACAGCGTTTCAGTCAGCGCTTCATCAGCTTCACGAGAATGTGCAATGGGCCAAAGGCTTAAATATGCAAACACAGCTTGTGTAGTAATTAGCAATGGCATACAGGTGTCTAAATAGGCTTGACCCTCTCCGACAATCAATATAGGTGCAAAAATCACTACAAACAACAGCACAGAAAAACACACACCGAGGTATTAAACTGATATTTGAGTATCAGGTTTTATGAATATTTCTGCCTGTCTCTAAACATTCACTTTGTTCCACAGTAAAATAGTCCAAATGACTTGAATTATCACTTGACTTTCCATCTAGCAGTATGACTGTAACAGCATAGCACAGATACCGAGGACCATATGGGCCATACTAACTCCACACATGCCATTAACACCAAAACCTGCCAGCGGGTTTGAAAGGAATGTTGTCTTTAAAAAAAAAAAAAAAAAAGAAGCATCACAAAATCCAAAATCACACCATTTATCAGCGCCATAATCCGTAAAAACAGACAGAATCATCAGATTTCACACTTCCTGACAGGCCTTGAGCTAACCATCTGTGACACGCCGTCGTTCTGTCACGAAAATCATCCAAATCTAAGCTCAAAATCATATTTCATCACTTCATTCTGAACGTCTCGTTTAAAAATTTGACAAAAATAAACCATATTTATTAACCAGATTCTGTAAAAAAAATAAAATGAAAAATGCTCATCTCCTCAGAGAAGCCACTGACTGATTCGACTGTGGCCATCGGTCATGTCACTAAAATTCTCTAACTTCTCCTTTTAACTGCAGGCTGAGTTTACACAGAGCAGATAGGAGACAAGTATGGGAACAGTACAGAGAGACTGACACCGAAATAAAACACACTTGAACTAAATGCGGCGTGGGTCAGAAAACGGTATACAGAGGAGCAAGTTGACGGCAGACTGTTGGAAGATACAGTCAGCATGTTGAAAGAGAGGTATTGTGAAGAGTAATGTGTGAAAGATTTTGCAGTGGTTGTAAAAACAGGTGAGGTAGGAAAATATCTGTAGTATGTAGAACAAACATTATTTTATCAGTAGTGGAAATACCTGTGGGAGACTGGGAAAGGGCTGTACATGTTGATGACATTTTTATTTTTAAGATTTTGTAAAATAAATATTTCAAAAGAATGTAACTTTAGTTTTTTCTCTTTTTTTATGATCTTTTTTTTCAAGTTCTTTTTTTTATAATTTTCCTTCACAAAGGTGCAGGACTTTATGTTGCCGTGGAAAAGCAAGCCGACAACCAGTAAAAATATGTCAGGAGCAAAGAAACAGACAGAAAGTGGTTGGGGTTGCGAGGGTTAAAAGGTTGACAAGGTAGTATTATTTTAATGCCACATGTTAGCCAAATTATACATGCTAACATGCAATGTTACCATGGTAACGGTAGTATAAAAGCACACCTGAGGCTGACAGAGAACAGTTTAGACTGAAGAAAGCAGAGTCAAGTCTGACAATACAAAGCCAAGTCTGACAAGCCGAGTCTGAGATGTCATTGGATCAGCGTATAGAAAAATAAACTCCGGTCTTTCTTCTGGTTTTTTGTTCTCTTGCTGTGCTGAGGATCTAAGAATAACAAAGTTGTTTTCTGAATTCAGCCACGGTTTTATATCCTGCTCTGTGGAAGCATTACGGGTTCTCAGTGAAGCATATGGCGATGATATTTCTTTTTCTTTTTTTTTTTTCCCCCTACTTTGCAAGGTTTGAATGCGACTGACGGACGCGGCAAAATATCAAGCGGCTAAGTTGGGGTTATACGCTGGCCAAGACCCAGCAGCTGCATCACCCCCTCTCACCCCTCCTCCTCCCAACATCATGCCTCGGGCCTCAGAGGTTATCAGCCTTGGATGCTGCCGCCGGCAACCCCAAGCCAGACAGCTGCTGATAAACTGGCTGTGCGAGTATTTATCAACATCACTCACTTTTATCGTTGCCAATCTAGGTAAAAAAAAATATAAAAAAATAAAATAAATAAACAACTCAATGTTCATCTCCGCTTGCCTCTCCACATCAGCTGTTTGTCCTGCTTCCCTTCTGGGCCACCCATTCCCCGGTCATTTTTTATTTTTTTTTAGCCTTGTTCCATCAAGCTGCAACCAGTCAAGTTTTCAGCCTTGTCTTTATACTTTGACATATGTGGCCAGCAGCTGATAGAATTGCTTGAGTCCAGATACAACACAATTTCTATATTTTTCTCTCCATGGTGACAACAGATATTAAGCCTCATAGTCCTACAGCGGCAGAAAAAAAGTAAGTGAACCCCGCTGGAAATGTCCGCATTTATGTATAAATTGGTGTTAAATATGTAGTCTGGTGTGTTATCTAAATTAAAATTATGAGCAAGCAATTTATTTCCACTAACAAGACACAAATCACTGTATTGTTCTTTTCATTATTGAATACATCATTCAAACGTTTGCAGTGTAGATTGGAGGGAAAAAAAATATGTGACCTCGTAGGCTAATGACATCAACAAGAGCT